ATGTCCCAAAATTATTGTACAAGCGGGAAATGAGGTATTCCTGTGGTCATTTGAAGTAACTTTTACCTTAGCGAAAATGCAATCCGCGGCTTCGTTTACGAATTATTAGCGAAAAAGAGTGACCAATGGGAGGCGAGATTAGCTGGCGCGAAGCGGCCGAGGCGATCAGCGGAACTGGGCTTCGACCGCTCGTTGGCTCGGCCGCTTCGCGCCAGCCGTGCTGGCCCCTCATTGGTCACTGTTTTTCGCTAATAATTCGTAAACGAAGCCGTGGATTGCATTTTCGCTAAGGAGAAAGTTACTTCAAATAACCTCAGGAACAATTTCTCGCGTGTACAATAATTTTTGAACGCCTTGTGGAAAAAGTTTCTTGGAAGGTAAATATGCTATATTTTATCAGACAAGCATTATCGTGGTACCAGTAGCACATCGTAAGGTTTCGGCGTAATCGCAAGACCAGGTATAATTTCTATGGATTTCGGTTCTTTGCCAGGGACAGGAAGTAAAGTGAACCTCTGCATCACGCCGACGAAGATGACGAACGTCGCAGTCTTGGCCAGAATCGCGCCTGGACATTTCCTTCTTCCTGAAAACAATAATATTTAGACTGCAACAATTTTGTTTTGATAATGTTTCGTCGGTTTTTTCAGAAAAATTCGACGAGTCCCGTATCGATTAGAAATTCAAACTGCGAAAGTTATGTTCCCCGATACTCTCGAGTACGCATTTCAATCACGTGACGGACAAACGACAGGGACGATTAATGAGTTTAACGACGTTTTCCTGTCGTATAACGATTTCGAATTTCCTAAAGATATTGTGGCGTCGCATCGGTCGCCACTGCTCACCCGCTATCTGAGCGCGTGCCGCTAGCAATCAAACATTNGCGAAAATGCAATCCGCGGCTTCGTTTACGAGTTATTAACGAAAAACAGTGACCAATCAGAGGTGAGATCATTTGGCGCAAAACGGCCGAGCCAATGAGCAGAACTGGGCTCCGTGCACTCGTTGGTTCGGCCGCCGCGCGCCAGCCGAGCTCGCCTCTTATTGGTCAGTAAACTCGTAAACGAAGTCACGCNATCAAACATTTGCCTTCCTAATCCTCTCTCGTAAACTTTTCCTTTACGACAGCCCTAATAAACTCCCTTAAAAACACTCCCAATAAAACAATTATCCGAACCTTTGCACACCTCGACTCGCACAGACCTTTCCTTTCTTCCCCTTCCAAGAGAATTTCATCTTTTCCCTTCTTATGACTGCCCTCGCAAACATTATAAAAAAAGGCAAAAGGCAACTCCGCAAAGGCAGTTAGTTCAGTCACTCAAGTCGAATCAGTCACCCCAGTCGGTCCGGTCAGTTCCAAAAACTCTGTACATCTCCACACTACGCTAGCCGCGCCCGCGCACGCTCATAGACAGGAATAAACACTATAACTAACGACAAAACATTTTGATTCACTTCCATTCCCCACTAAAATATCAGTTATAACGCGCAGTGGCACTTTAATGAAACGACACTCACGCGTGCTAAAGATTCTGACGTCTATAATAGATTCTCTCCAATCGTCCTTCAGCTTGTAAACAAAAATGGACAATTTGGGATGATTATTTATAAACGACTATTCAAGCCTTGCACCTCGTTTTTATAATTGTTGACAATCGGCAAATTATAAAAACGAGCCGCGAGGCTCGAATAATCGCATCTCCTCTTCTCAAATTGTCCAATTTTTGCTTACAAGCTGAAGGACAATTGGGGAGAATTTACTGTACTGCTCATCTCGATGATCCCGTTTTGGTTGAGATGAGCTTCTTGATTTCATGGAATTGTTACGTTGATCTGCGCGACCCGGGCAGGATCAGAAATCGTCATCGAAAACAGATCATACTATTGTGCACAGAAGAGAATTAAGTGTCAACGACTACTTTTGACCTACTGTCTTAAATGCATAAAGTTTATTCGCGGGCATTTTGTAGATCCCATTTGTTCAGTTTGTACACAGTTTTTCATACCTTTCCCGAAAATTATGGAGTTCATGTCGGGTTCGTAGGCCCCGTTCTTGATGTGCCTTTCCGGCTTAAATTTGTCCGGCTCGGGATACAATTCCGGATCTCTGTTCACCGAATAATTGTTGATCAGGATTGTTGTTTCCTTCGGTATTCTGTAATTTCCGAGCTCCGTGTCGCAGAGAACTCGCCGCGGACCGATCAATGGGAACACTGGCCACATACGCATCGTCTCGCTAATTATCGCCTCCGCATACGGCAACCTGCAACAATAAAGAATTTCGGCATCCGTACGCTGTGCCTTTTTTCAGCCCTATGCAGTCCGATGCGACAGTAAATGCACCGACGAATGCAAGCAACACCGAGGAAGACTTCGATATCGAATAGAAACTAAGCTGCATTTACGACAGATTTTGTGTTAACCCTTTGCACTCGAGCGGTGACTCCGAGGCACCACTAAAAAAAAAAATTGTTACATCACGTTCCAATATAATTTTTATATTATCAAAGTTTAGATATAAAAAATTGTTAAAGGTCTAACTGTTGTATGAGTCGCAAGACTAAATTTCATATGCATAAAATGCACTTTGTCGTGTAAAATGGAAATACCATAAGTCGAAGAAATTAATTTAGATTTACAGTTAAAATGGCTTCGAGTGCAAAGGATTAACAACACTTTCGAAACTTATTAGATCAGCGTAATGGAAGATCCTGATATTAAAAGCGGTTAATCACTTTAATGAAACCTAACGTCGACGAGATCGGCCCATTAAGAACGCTAACGCGAGTGCGATCATAATTTCGCACTTAATTACTTCAATCTGTCCGCTGTGTCAGGAAGTCTATCCGGTGGAATCGCCGAGTCGATTTCTTTTTGTAGCTTCCGCTGCACGTCCTGATGTATTATCATAGTAAGGAACAGGAACTCGAGCGTCGTCCCGATGGTCATAAATCCGGCGATGAACAAATCCACCAGAATCACCAATAACTGTTCTTCTAGAAATGTAAAAAACGTTCTATATAAAACGAATTGCCGGCGATGGGCCACCTTTCGCATCTACGACGAAGAAATAGTTCGAGCGACGTATCTGTGAATGCTCCATGTACCTGTGTAAACTGTGTCGGCGCCTTGGTTGTTCATGATCTCTGAGATGAACTTATCGATTATGTCCGTCACCCTTCCAGGAATGTAGTTTTTCTTGTGATCGATGATGGATTCCTGTGAGAGAATGTCGCAAGATAACCGATTCAATTATATGCATTCGAAACATAATTTTGGCAGACACCTATTTACTCCAAGTGACTCTTCGATTGTGAAAAATGGTGAGTAATGTAATATCGAAGAGAATAAGTAGCTGCTANAGATCCTGATATTAAAAGCGGTTAATCACTTTAATGAAACCTAACGTCGACGAGATCGGCCCATTAAGAACGCTAACGCGAGTGCGATCATAATTTCGCACTTAATTACTTCAATCTGTCCGCTGTGTCAGGAAGTCTATCCGGTGGAATCGCCGAGTCGATTTCTTTTTGTAGCTTCCGCTGCACGTCCTGATGTATTATCATATAAAGGAATAGGAACTCGAGCACCGTCGCGGTGGTCGTGAAGGCCGCGATGAAGAAATCCATTAGTATCACCATCAATTGGTCTTCTAAAAATGTAAAAAAAAAGAACGTTGTACATAAAAAAAGGTTTTGCCGGTGATCTGTCTCCCCTGACGTTAATTGCGAAGAAATAATTCTAGCGGTGTGTGTGTGTGTGTGTGTGTGTGTGAAAGCTACCGTACCCGTGTAAACTGTGTCGTCGGCTCGGTTCTTCATCATCTCCGACATGAATTTATCGATTATGTCCGTCACCTTTCCAGGAACATAGTTCTTCTTGTGTTCCATTAAGGTTTCCTGTAAGAGAATATCGTAAGCTGATCGATTCGAACTACGGATTCGAATCACAATTTTGGTAGACGCATCTTTAATCCAATTAACTCTTCGATTGTGAAAAAAATGGGGGAGTAATGTAATATCGAAAAGCAGAAGTAACTGTTAAGAAGAAAGCTTCGATCCACCTGACAGTAGTAGTCACAAAATAATTGCCAATGTTTCTAGGAATGTTTCAATTTGTTACAGAAAAAAACTAATTGACGCAAAAATGGGCAATTTGAGAAGAGAAGATACGATTATTCGAAACTTGCGGCACGTTTTTTATAGAAACCAACTGTCAACAACTATAGAAATCGTATCTCCTCTTCCCAAATCGTCCATTTTTGTGCACAATCTAAGTATCAATTACGAAGAATTTGTGACTCGTTAACTCTAAATCTGTCATGCTTTGTTGTTGGAGTTATAGTATCAAATTCCAAATTGTTGCAATTGAACAAGCGTATAGTGTGGTAAAAATGGCGAAAAGTTCAAAGGAGATCGTTCTTCTTATTCTTGTAATGTACCATAGTCGGATATTGTTAGTGTTAGATAGGTTTAGTGTCAATGTTATTTTATTTCAGAAATCAGTGTTCTCTCAGCAGAACACGTATATGTCTAATCCTTTCGTGGGCATCTTAACTTCGAAAATCGCGATGTAATTAAAAATGATCCTCGGTCGAACTACTCACCATAAAGAAGTTCTTAAGCTCGTCGTTCAGCGTTACAAGAAGCTTGTAACCAGAGGCCTCAGGTGCAACGTAACGGAGCCAAGGGAAAGAGGAGAGAGCTCCACCGGTTACGTCGAACATACGCGACCGACGGTCCATCATGTCGATAAAGTACTCTAATCTGCGGTGCGACGTTAGAAAGACATCAATTAACGATTGTATCAGAATACGCGCATCCACATACATACATCGACCCACATCCACATACATAAGATCGACTTGTGAGTCACCTCTGAACCATAGTCGCGGTTTGTTATATTATTCTTTGACATTTGCCCTGAGTAAACAAGCTTACGCGGCATAGTATGATTCAAATGGCACAAAACGCCAAAAGTTGCGTAATCTGATCTTAGCGTGAAATTTTCGATTATATTAATAGACCGCAAGAAACGAGCTTTCCGCGTCTTACATTTCACTCGCATACTTTCGTTAGAAACGCGTAAGTCCACGGTTAACACGTTCCGTGTCACGTGTGCCACCGATGGTACATGCTTACATGTTTAATTAATGAGGTAAAAAAATAGTCTATATCAAATCCATAACTGAAAAGTTAATTTCCACCACAAAAATGGGTCATAATAAGTTTGTGTTTCATTGTTATTATATGATAATTAAAAATAGCATATAATATATCAAGTTTTAGTAAAATATCAAATGACCAGCGTGAAGAGTCGAGTAAAAATAGCTCGGCACGGAATTAAGTGCTAAATATAAACCCTTGACATTAAATATCAATCCTTGACCAAATAACTTTGACATAACCCGTCCCGACCATGTGTCCACTAGTACGGTCTAATACAATGGCTTTTTTTTCATTCTCAAATCTCAATCCTTATCATTCCGAGCTTTAAAGAAGCCTGGAAAAATTCTGAGGTTCTTGTTACAATTTCTAATTTAATGTCTACTTTATCCAAATGTGTAAACTTAGTTCCAGCAAAAATAGAAATTCGACGACAGTTACGAAGAGACCACGTTAGAAAGAAAATGTTATGGTAGAATGTACGGTAATACATAGTTGGTGCACAGTGGCAGAGAAATCGGTGGCAGACGAACAAATACAGTAAATACTCTCTAATTGATGCACAGCTTGGAAACAAAAATGGGCAATTTGGGAAGAGAAGATACGATTATTCGAGCGGCTCGTTTTTACGATTGATGACATTCGACGACTATAAAAATCCGCTAAAAAGCTGCAAGACTCGATTAATCGTACCTCCTCTTCCCGAATTGTCCATCTTTGTTCCCAAGCTCAGCATCAATTAGGCAGAATTCATCGTACCTTGGACCCATGTTGAAGTGTTTGCCCATCGTGAATTGCCAGAGGACGTTTAATGTGGCAGGCGCGACTATTGGCTTCAATGTTCTCACACCTCCGCCCTTCAGGTTCTCCAGGATCGCGTCCAGCTCGTCCGTGATCATGTCTATCATCGGGCGTTTGCCGTAACCGAAATCCGTCAGAGTATGGATCATCCAGCTACTCAGTTCTTTCCACGCGGGCCCATCATTCATCGTGATCCCTTGCAACGAAAATTAGATTTCAGCCATCGGATATCGTAATTAGCGAACAGCTTCTTACTGTCGTGCCGTGAAGAAGGAGAGGATGGGATTTCCTCGAGAATACGTTGCGAACAGATACAAGAAATCGTGTAACGAGGATTACGCGTTTGAATAGTGTAATTGTCAGTTTAGAAACGAAAGATGGACTCGATGAGAAGGAATCGAATTCAGTTTTTGAGAAAAAGGTCAAACATAAGGATGAGTCAGTTTTCTTTGCTAATAGTTTATATACAGGGTGTCCTAAAATTATGGTATTCGAAGCAACTTTTTCCTTTACATAAATTTTCTCCGAGGCATCGTTAACGAATTATTAACGAAAAACGCTGAGCAATGAGAGGCGAGCTTGGATGGCGCAAGGCGACCGTCCAGCCAACGAGCGCACGAAGCCGAGTTCCGCTCATTGGCTCGGACAGGCGAACTCGTCCTCATTGGTCATTGTTTTTCGTTAATAACTCGTAAACGATGTCTCGGAGAAAATATTTGTAAAGGAAAAAGTTACTTCAAATCACCTCAGGAACTCCTCGTCTCCCGCAAATACCATAGTTTTAGGACACCCTGTATAATAACTTACCTAGCTACTAACTTACCTTACTATATACAATAAATATAATAATATAATATATAATAATAATATATATAATTATATATATATATATATATATATAATAGAAATAATAAATTATATATATAAGTTATATACAATAAATTCTTCCTAATTGACGCTTCGATTGTACACAAAAATGGACAATTTGGGAAGAGGAGAGACAATTATTCCAGCCTCGCGCCTCGTTTTTATAGTTACCGATCGTCAACAACTATAAAAACGAGACGCAAGGCTCGAATAATCGTATCTCCTCTTCCGAAATTGTCTATGTTTGTGCGCAATTTGAACGCGAATTAAGGAGAAATTCCTGTAATAGCTTACCTTGCTTCTTTCCGAACGTGCGTATCTTGATAAACTCGTCGAAGGGTCGGCCTTCGAATTCTCCGCGATTTATTACCGCCGTGACTAGTTTGACTCCAGAAACAACCACCATCTTGTTCATACCAAGGTACAAGGTTATCGCGTCGCTGCGGTATTGCTTGCAAAGCTCGATCGTTGCCAAATGCAACCCACCATATTTCACGCATAATTGGTTCAGTAAGAATTGGTTGCCGATGATCGGCCAGGAAAAGGGACCTGAAAGATAATTCGTGCTTGAAAATAAGACAGCAATGAATAGCAGCTGATAGCTTAATTAGAAATAAATGGACGTGTGAGAAAAATGATTTGTAGGGTCATTTGAATTGTTGGATTGATTCTGTAGATGTTCACGATGGTAACATAGTATTTAATCAATGTTACGGGTTTAGAAAATTGTGTGCGAGTTACAGATGATGAAAATGATATGAAATGAAATCTGCTAAGTCAGGTATTAAATGAATATTGTGAGGATACAGGAATGTCCAGAAGACATTTCTGCTTATATATCGGCAGTTTATTATCGTAAATATGCAGAACACGTAATTTTGTCATAATTTTGACAATATACAATCCGGCACGATTCATCTGTTACTGAAAATATAAAAATAGTAACGGCGAGAGTTTTATATTTTACGGAGCAAATTAGTCTCGGATTTTGTAACTCTCTTATGCCAAACACAGCAAAGACAATGTGTTCTCTTTGTTGTGTAACATTAAATAAACTGTTTGTTGCGCGATATATGGTTACGGTAGATTCATCTCAAAATTTCGATATCCATAGAATATTCTTTAACCGTTAAATATCCTTGTTAAAAGAGATTCGAATTGTATTCAATGTTTCACCGTTTTCTGTACAAAAAGAAAAGACGAAATATTTTACAAATAATTTGTTTTAAACAAAAAGTAGGCACCCACTTCAGCATCGACTGGTTTCACAACCATACTACAGTAACCATTAAAACTTTTTGAGAGTCGCTATATCAAACACTAAGTTAATTCGTTTTAACTTATAGAACACCTCGTAGGCGTTGCTTTAAATCATTTTACCGCTGACCTAATCAAAGCGTTCGCTGTCACGCGTTTGCAGAACATCGAGCAACAAATTCACTCGTCGGAGCACCTTTTTAGTTTGTCTCGTGAGAACATTTTCTCCACGAATTTTTGCCGATGAAAACAAATAATCGAAATATTTATGTAACTCCATCTTCAAAAAATTATAATTAATTATATATAATATAAGAAATATAACGAATAATCGACCTCGGATTTTCCATTTTACAATTATGGAGATTAAAAAAGCGGTTTCTGCATCATCATTGCATTATTAGTCAAATTAGAGCACGTTACAATACCTAGAACACTGTTAACTTTATTGTTCCAACAATGTTTAACGAGCGCGCGTGAATAAATTATAATTAATTTCATAAATTACTAAAAATTGATTCGATCCTCCAACGAAGATTGTCACACGTGCTAATGTTAGTAACCAGCGCGTTCGTTATCGTAAGAAACTTCCGACATGCTATCGCAGACCGTTAGACGATTTTCAATGCTGAACCATAATATGTTCTTGCATACGCATAGATTACCCGAAGCCGAATGCTGTCTATAGTCCAAGCCATCATTTTGGTCGCACATTGTTAAATTAAAGATGGAGAAATGAAAAGAAGCGATTTTAAAGATGAAAGAGGTCCCTTTCGCGAACACGTCGTCTATACAATTTTGTTTTCGAGAAAATTCAAGCACAGTAATGTCTCCCTAACTGATGCTCAGATTGTCCACAAAAATGGACAATTTGGGAAGAGTAATTTCTCCCAAATTGCCCATTTTATTAATTAGGGAGAAATTACAGTATACGCTTGTTCCGTCGGTGCGAAATATCATCAAAAAAACCGAAACGATCTACAGTGAAGTCTCCCTAACTGACGCTCAGATTGTCCACAAAAATGGACAATTTGGGAAAGGAGATACCATTATTCGAGCCTTGCAGCTCGTTTTTGTAGTTGTTGACAATTCGTGACTATAAAAATGAACCGCAAGGATCGAATAATCGTCTCTCTTCTCCCTAAATTGTCCATTTTTGTGGACAATCTGAGCGTCAGTTAGGGAGACTTCACTGTAGATCCGTCACATTCGAGAAAGCGCGTTCAAGCCGTAGACGTCTTTCAATTGTTCTTGAAGTCAGGCCATGACTAGTTAATTGATCGTGGTACGATTTCTCTGACACTGCAAATTCATTCACCTACAGTAGCCCGCAAAAGTGTTCGTACACCTTTTAAAATGCAATAACTATTTTAAAACTGAACTAAACGACTTGAATCTTTTCTTTTAGATTATAGAGGAACTAGTCTATTAGACGGTGATCGAAACTATTTTTTTTTTAATTTTGCTATTACATACTTGGAATAAAAAAAAATCGTTCGTTTGTTTAACTTTTTTCATCTTAGCCTGTAACGAAAATTTCAAAAATATCTTTCGCAGATCTCGGTAACTTGTATGCATGTTGAACATTTTATCGAAATCGTTCCGTGTTCTTATGAACTACAACAAATTAACGATCGCAAAAATCGCAGTTTTATCACGATTTCGACCAAAAACTATACGAAATCCGCAGTTTTTTTCGACTCTGAGTTAAGCGATTTCGATCAAGCTTTCAGCATTCGTATAAAAGTTACCGAGATCTAGAAAAGGTATTTTTTTTCATTTTCGTTCTAGGCTCCGATAAAAAGAAAAATTTTGAAAAAGATGAGGATTTTTAAATATTTTCTGTTCATTCCAAGTAACAGCAAAATTAAAAAAATGAAAAAAGCTTTACAGCCATCGTCAAGTAGACTTGTCCCTCTGTCGTCTAAAAACAACATTCAAGTAATTTAGTTCGGTTCTCAAAAAGTTATTGCGTTTTAAAAGGTGTACGAACACTTTTGTGGGCCACTGTACGTACACAGCAACGTGCGAGATGCATCGGAGAGGGTCGCTGTCGCTACGACTGGCGAAGCAATGTCACAACACAACAGTTCACTTACCTGGGGGATGATTCTCCATTTTCAACCTGGTAAATGTGGAGAACAGCATGAAAATGACGATCAACAATACCAGTATTACGGTGGCGACCATTGTGTGGCTCGAATGTGGTTCGACGTCGGCGATCTTAACCGTTAGATTGTAACGTACGGCTGACTTTGAGTCGCCGTTCGAATCTAAACGTTTTATATAAGCTTTCGGCTTCGGATTCGTGGTCGTTTCAATTTTGTGCGCGATTCTTCGTGCGGTGGCCGATAACGTGGCTCTAGCCGATAAGCTCGACAGGCACGAGCAGCAGCAAGCTGCCCCTCAGCTCCTCTTCCTTCGTCGGAGCCTGTCGACATTAAAGAAAGAAGACACGAGTTGGCAATGCTTCAATGGGAGATATAGTTAGATAACTTTTACTGGCCGTTGCATCGTGTTCGGTGTCGATTACAGCCGCTATCCTCTTTCCCTGTCACCTACTGTATGTATTCAACAATGGATCTCATTCATCGGGCATCGTGGATATCGTGACCATACGGTAGCAGAATTTTAATCTGTCTGTTCCTGGACGAAATGCAGATTCCAGATCCGAGGAAGAAAGGGCTCGCGCGGCCTGGCCTAATCCTAACGCGGCACTGAAACATTTGCAAATCAATTTAGATGACATACTTCTATTGGATATTTTTACATATTAGTTTAACAAGTCTCGCTCGTATTTATTTTTGTTTTTTCTTTCTTTCTCACAACGAGAGAATTGTAAAACGAAGAAATCACAGATGAATTCGTTTTATCGTATTTGTTCGCTTTGGTTTAACGCATGTCTCACATGTTGTTGCAGATTAAATTTTACGACAATAAATTATGCCTTTCTGGGAAAATAATTCCGAAGGTTTGTTAATATCCTAGATAACTTTCTCTAGGAGGGGTTGAATGATACGATCTCATCGTCGCTTCTCCTTGTAAATTTCACCGATAAAATAACTCATTCATTGACATCGAGAACAAAAATACGTGTAAAATTCATACGAAACGTATGCAAAATTTATTTGTCATTGTGCATAATTTGAGATGGTAACACGCGTATGCTAACATGTAGTGCTCAAGGATAAATTAAAAATTCATATTTATCATAGATATCGTTTCGCGATGATATGTACATCGTTTTTCGGAGTACGCTGTCCGTAATAATATGTAGTAAGTGCTTAAGATAATTCTCGGTATTTCGTGATAAAAAGGAAAACTAAACTTCTTTGAAATGAACAGTAAAGTATATGCTTAAGATAATTCTCGGTATTTCGTGATAAAAAGGAAAACTAAACTTCTTTGAAATGAACAGTAAAGTATACGTATATGTATATTCAAAATATTGTCCTTCGGAGACTATAACCGTTTTCCATTTTTCAAGTAATAGAACGGATTCCATAGTCGAAAAACTCGGGTTTCCTCGCGGCGATCCAGGCATCGACTCATTTTTGGACATCCTCGTAAGAATTTCGGTGTTGCTTAGAAAGATCATGCTTATAATTAATAAAATTTATAATCTGAAGGAGCAATGTCTGGCGAATATGGTGGTGGGGAAATACATCCCATCCAAGTGCTTCTCACGTTTCCTTCACTTCAAACTGAACTAATGTTTAACATTTTATCTCGAAACTTTTTTCGGTGGACCAGGCCGCTTTTTATCACTCACGTCAAAATCGTTGTCTCTGAACCGTCTAAACCAATCTCTCCAAGTTGTTTCAGATAGAGCATACCTCCCGCAAGTCTCCGCTATTCTTGTGGCGGAAGCAAGAAAGTAATACTTTGCGCAAACGCTGATTTTTTGATACGAAACCCGACATTTTTAATCGCGATGAAAATTGGGTTCTTTTCGCTACGATCAAATAGCACACACTGTAGGGCCCTAACAGCACTATCCTACGCATCGGCAGTAACTTCTCGCCATATTGAAATAGCAGAACTGCTGACCTATTTTAATTAATCGCGAGAATTAATTCAAGCACCTTAATATTTATCAACAAAATTCTTGTAATAGAGGTCGGCGAAACGATAGGACACGTTAATAAAAGAAGCATTTGTTTAACGAAAATTAAACGGTTGTATTATAAAATTAACATAAATTGAGACTCCTCTATTTTCACTGCCTCATTCTTTTTGGCAAAGAATTGAGCAATTTACGAATATAAATTGTAACGATTTATTCCATTCATCCTTGTTTTAACTCATTAATATGTTGTATTTTCTATTATTTATTTATATAGTTTTCCTTTTTCACCAGTCGAGCCAATTGCCCCAAAACAGTTCTCGATTATGTTTAAATAAGGGGATCAGGCTGACCAGTCAAGAAGCGTAATTTCTGATGAAAAACGATCTTTCACTACTTTAATTGTATAAGAATTAGTAGTACTGCACTGTTAATTTGTTGTCGTATTAAATCACGATAAGTCGTGATATTCATCTTACTGTCATTAAATACGATTTCGCTCTTCCCATTGTAGCCAACGCCTGCCCAAATCATTATATGTATGTGCTCCCTTCGCACATTTAACGTCACACTTTTAACAATTCTTTTTTTTTGTACATGATGATAAGTATATAAATAGACGAAAAGAGATTCAACCAGGATGACCCAGGTTGGGGGCCAAAATAACGATAAAGACGATTTTGACTATTATTATCATCATGTAAAAAAAGGAAGAATTGTTAAAAGTGCGAATGGCCGGAGAAAGTATAATGATTTGAACATCCTCTATATTAACATTGTTCCAGAAAGGACCTCAACATTGCTACAGTACGGGAAGAAATAATCAAAACGTCCAAGAAATATAAAAGCAGAATTGAAGTTCGTAGCAACCCGCTAACAAACAGCATAAACTTTTTCATTTGTCCGTCTGCATTGTACATCGAGGTCTTGTATTTGTTGAAAAATACATTGACATTTTGTTATGATAGTTTCTTAACGAGCAGTAGATACATACAAGCATGACTAGCTACGATGTTATATTCGAATTCATAGATACATAAGTTCTCATTACTTATGTACATACATATTCTGGGACACTAGTAAAAAAAAAGTTTTCAGGAATTATATTCATTATACATATTGTGGCTTAACGTTAAGGGTGTACTCGAGATGTACGTAAGCCGTGTTGTAAATGACAAATATAATAAGCGTGCATGAAACGTATTTATACGTAGCTATCAACTTTTAATATCTGATTTCAAACGAGAAAGTCAATAAAAAAAATGAAAATTCTACGAAAAATGTCATATACAAAATATATTAAATAAAAATTGTATTTGTTAAACCTACTAATGTCAAAAAGTTTTGTCCACAAACTATATTTTGTAACAAGACAAAAGTTATAAATAATGACTCACTGAATCTACGGCACAATTGAAATTTCCATTTGTTAATAAGGCGTGCGTCATATGTTATAACGGATATCTTATGAAACATAATTGTTAATTCGAATTAAGATTTCCCAGATTAAATCCAGGTGGAAGACTTACACACGTACATCTGTTGCCTGCTTCAACTTATTTCAAGCAATCATCCAGTAATTTTACCGATGAAGCGAATCGTGTTTCATAAACGATGTGATAAAAAAAAGTGCACGTTTTAATATTACCGAAATACAATGATGAATTGTATATAAATATAAACAATCAGATATGTAATTTAATAATTTATGATCATAATAATGCTGGAATAATTCACCGATTTAACATTAGAATATATCTTACATTTTATTTACAATCACTTTTATTTACAAAGGGGATATAAAAATAATGATTATATTATATTTGTTTCGCAATAGTTCAATTATTATATGTACACTAGACACTTTATATGATGTCCAAATCGACCTCTTTCTTCGAACGTTTTTTCACTACTTTTTTCCCTCTCATGATGGTCGCTTTCCTCTTTCTGGCTTCCTTCTTTTTCTGTTGCCTAGCTATTTTCCGTTTTGCAGCTAGCTCTGGGTCCGTAACAAACTGCAAACACAATTATTTCAGTATACACATCCGGATTCACAACATTACCATAAGTATAAAAATGTACCTGCTGCGCGCGCGCCTTTCTTCTTTCAGTTTTCACGATGTCCAGTTTTTGTTGTACACGATTGAATAATCTAGTGTATTCTTCGTTACCCATGCGTTTCTTTATCATTGTAGCTGCTTCTTTCGCCAATCGTCGTAAACTGATATTGTGCTCTTCTGTAGATGACATTTCACGTGCGATCGGTGACATGATATTGAAAAGTATTCCATTCAACTGTTCTATGGGTATGGTTGCCACAATACCAGCTACCCATTTTAAGAAAGCAGTTCTCTGAAAGATACCATTTGTTAAAATATAATAAAAGTACAAAGGCATAATATAAAATTTCGTAACATACCACTGATTTAGATTTTGGGACCCGCGTTATTTCTACGTTCACAGCCTTTCGTATTCTTCTAAGCAACCAAGGGAGAGACAACCGGTTCTTGTATTTTCCTTTCGTCTCGTCATCTTTATCAGCGATTCCATTGTCGCGCATATCGACGGATTTTAGAATTCTCGCAATAAAAATTAAATTCTTAACAGTTTGGTCCATTAGTTCTTCGAACATTGTATCCGGCTGCAATTGCGCTATTAAATCTAAACTTAAGCTTGTTATAGCACCAGCGGGGTCNTTATTATATGTACACTAGACACTTTATATGATGTCCAAATCGACCTCTTTCTTCGAACGTTTTTTCACTACTTTTTTCCCTCTCATGATGGTCGCTTTCCTCTTTCTGGCTTCCTTCTTTTTCTGTTGCCTAGCTATTTTCCGTTTTGCAGCTAGCTCTGGGTCCGTAACAAACTGCAAACACAATTATTTCAGTATACACATCCGGATTCACAACATTACCATAAGTATAAAAATGTACCTGCTGCGCGCGCGCCTTTCTTCTTTCAGTTTTCACGATGTCCAGTTTTTGTTGTACACGATTGAATAATCTAGTGTATTCTTCGTTACCCATGCGTTTCTTTATCATTGTAGCTGCTTCTTTCGCCAATCGTCGTAAACTGATATTGTGCTCTTCTGTAGATGACATTTCACGTGCGATCGGTGACATGATATTGAAAAGTATTCCATTCAACTGTTCTATGGGTATGGTTGCCACAATACCAGCTACCCATTTTAAGAAAGCAGTTCTCTGAAAGATACCATTTGTTAAAATATAATAAAAGTACAAAGGCATAATATAAAATTTCGTAACATACCACTGATTTAGATTTTGGGACCCGCGTTATTTCTACGTTCACAGCCTTTCGTATTCTTCTAAGCAACCAAGGGAGAGACAACCGGTTCTTGTATTTTCCTTTCGTCTCGTCATCTTTATCAGCGATTCCATTGTCGCGCATATCGACGGATTTTAGAATTCTCGCAATAAAAATTAAATTCTTAACAGTTTGGTCCATTAGTTCTTCGAACATTGTATCCGGCTGCAATTGCGCTATTAAATCTAAACTTAAGCTTGTTATAGCACCAGCGGGGTCATAGTACACATAACCAGACTCTGTTTCGCATTTATCCGGATTTTCTAATAAATCTACAGTTTTATCAATGTCAAGGGTAGCTAAAACGAAGCCGATCATCTGAGATGATGCTAGACGAACCCATGAATGCGGGTGTGCCAATAAAGATTGACTGTATTCTAAAACAGTATAAAACATTTCATTAATGTATGAAATATAAAAATATAATGAAATAGTAGTGGAGCCGAGTATTGCATTTACCAGCAAATAAACAGACGGTTTCTTTGTACTGTTCGTCCTTGAGAAATGCTGTGCAGTTCGCGGATATCTTCAATAATAATTGTAGAACTTGAAACATATGATGATCTTTCAGTCTCTCTGGATCCTTGATGTTGGGATGTATCTCTAATTCTGTATCTGTGTGTAACTTCACATAACGACCAGGCTCTTCCTTGTCGTCGAACTTCGCATGGAATTGCTTCAATAGAACCGGTAATACTTCCTTCAAGCGAGATTCGAAAGTGTCTTTCTCTACACTGACGAATATTCCGCACAATTGAGCAGCTAAAGCACGGTGCGATATCTAAAACAATTAATTATCTTTATTAATGATACGACTCAGTAAATTACAAAACAGTATTTGTCGGGATAAATCACCGATAATTACCCTGTTATCTTTTAACCATTCTAGAACAATATCAAACAGCTTGCTCCTTTTATTGTAAGGTATGCGAGTAATCATTACTTTGATACACTTGGCGCATAATTTCCGACAAGTTGGATCATCGTCGTTCACCAAACTTGGACTCGCCATTACGAATATGAGACCCGATTTCAGAGCCAGAGTTTTCTGAAATCAGAATTAAAAAGATTATAAAAATAGTCCAAATTCAATTTCTAACTGTAGTAGATGCTACTCACTACTGGAAATCCTGTAACAATGCTATGAAGCATTTCTAATGCACTGAGTCGGCCAGGTTGCATCTCATAACTTAGTTGCGTCAAATAAAACGCAATGTGTTTGTTCAAATGTTTTCCAAGTGGATATTCCATTAAGTACGAGTAAAAAACAGAACGAGACTGCTGTCGAATATGTTCCAATTCTGATGTGATGCTCAAAGCGGCAACTTGCTCCATGACAAGATAAATTTCTGGGAGATGCATCTTCCGGACGATTATTGCTTTTAGTAGCCCGAATGCCGTTGCATGTTTGTCGCAGTCGTGGATATCTTGTTCAGCATACATAATTAATACCTTCAGCTGCTCCGTAGTGATTGTATAATGTTTCACATCACGGACAATTACAGACATGCACTTAAAGCCAGCCATAACAAGATCGAAATTGTCTCCTTTGCTCAAACCAGCAGCAGCGTATTTGTGCAGTATGCTGAAGATAGATGTACATATTTCAGAGATTGACTCCTGTATTGAAACTAAGTCCATCTTAAGCAGCCAATTTAAACACTGTAAAGCCAACGTGCTCAGCTTGACGTGTTGAGATTTTAAACAAGCATTTGCAATTGGTACGAACGGGTCTATAAAAGGTCTGAACGTTACACCGGATACTTTGTCTCTTTTCAGCAATATATGAAAGAGTTTGAAACCAAACTCCATGATAACATGAACATTAGTGTTTTTAGATGTTTTTGAAATAGCTTTTACACCCATTCTATTTTTCGGCTCCGGTTGTATGATGTACAAGTCTGGTTTCTGTCTAGTTAACGCATCCGCATTTTTTTCTGTATATTCTTTCTCCTTCTTCTGAGGCAGCAGTTGCGGAATATTTTCAGAAAGTACACCATAAAGAAAGATCAGCATTTGCTCTAAAGGTATAAAAGCATTATCAGCTAGACCCAACACCACATTTCTTAAACACTCCACTACTTTCTGCACTGTTTTATGCGAATGTGTTCTCAGGAGTACTTCTTTCAATGGTAAAATTAAGTCCACTAAACATGATTCCGTAATATATTCAGCTAATATATGGAAAATATCAAAACTTTTTGTGGCCTTTGCTTCCGAAACATTTTTCACAATACCGATTACTTCTTTTTCTTCAGCTGTTAAACCAAATAAATCTACTTTACACACCTAGAAAGAAGAATATGATATTAGTACATTATTAATACTAATGTTTTTGAAGATACGTAACGTGACGTAACTTACAGATAATATGCTCTGAAGATTTTCATTGATATCTAGTTTCTGGAAATATGGCTTTAAAGCAACTAACACTGATTGCACTGTATAGGCGAGAACGTGAACTTGGAAACCCTTTGTGAGTAATGTATTCATTTCTCTTAACAAATAGTAAAGATACTTTGGACCCAGAGTTATCATAATCTTCTGTAATACTTCCCGAGTAATTCGTCTTACTGATTCCAAACGTGATTTCAGAAAAGTGCACAATTTCATGAAGATGCTGAAACATAATGTATTATTTTATAACGGCAATTATTTTCTATTACTTACTATAAGATTATTACTGCAAGATACGTTGATAATTACCCAGGTAAGTTATTGCTTAGAATAATTTCAGGCAACTTTTGCAATAATTTAACAAATGCAAGGGCAATGGGGACTCTCATTAGTTCTTCTTCTTCATTGTCTGCTGCAACCTTCTTCTTATTAACTTTGTGACTACTCTCACGACTGGTTCTTGCTACAATAGAACGATGAAGCTGTGGCAATAATTCTTTGGATATACTAAAGACTACCCTTTTTGCCCCTTGTTGTGATAGTACTGTTTGCATTTCCATCACAAGTGCCTCTTCTTGTATTTCCTTCTGCTCTTTCTCTACAATTTCTCCAATATTCTCCACGTTTTCAGAATTCAAAGCATCATCTAAATTTTCCTCTACTTCATTAACATTTTCGTTAGTGGTAGTTTCGTCAACGTCATCATCTTTCTTTTCCTTTTCAGAAGAAATTTTTTGTTTTTCTGTAATCTCTGTTTTTCTTTCTGATTCTAAGAATTTATCTACAAATTTGTACTTTGATAGATCGAAGTGAAATGCATCTAGAATAGCAACGATTATCCTAACAAGCTGTTTCTGATACTCGATACAAGTCCTTAATTTTCCCAAATAGTATTTCAAGATAATTTCATATTGATACCAAGGAAGCAGTCTACACACTGTTCCAACTGTTTCTATCGCAGCATCAACAATGCTATTTTTATGTATAAAAGCTTCATTGCATAAATACGAAGATGCCAATGGTAAAATAAATTGTGTTAGAGTTCTTGGATTTGGAGCTTTCTTCAGTGTTTTTGCTATGCTACAAAATTTAAGAAGTGCGCGAGCTCTTCTGTGCATTTGTAGATGTTGCATGTTCTCAAAAAAGTCTACCTCTGGATCTATCTTGTTGGTCAAGAGTGTTAAGTCGCGCAGGACAGGATGTACTTCTGGACACTCCATTGACATAGTTCCCAAAAAACCTATTGAATGAAGCCGTACAGCTTCAGTTTTGCTGACAATGCCCTTTCTTATAAGCACTAAAATTGTTTCATCCATTAGATAACGTCTATCTGCTGTGCTCTCTTGGTACTTCTTTGCTAATTTCGGACCAATACGCTTCAAGCACTGTCCTGCATAATCTCTCATAGCTAAATCTGCGTCAGTTTTAAGAAAATAATAGCAATTATAAATAATTCCTACTCCAAATTCCAATGTTATTTCATTCTTCTCTATCACACTATTTATTTCACTAAATGCGTCCAGTCTTTGCTGAAAATCTGGTTGGTCAAGCCATCTGCGGTCCCACGCATTTAAAGCATTTATTATATTATAATGTTTCATCAGCGTTTCACGAGTTTCTTCTGCAGATCCTTCAACAATAGTCTTGTAGAGCACCAGGAAAAGTTTGCGAGCAGGAACTGACGAAATCATACCTAGTAAAGGTAAAATTGTAGGTAGATGAATTTCTGGTTTTCTAATATGTTTTATGAGGTTTATGACTGTAGTGATTAATTCAATAATCGTTTCCTCTCCTTCTCTTCCACCAGATCGCCTAACCAATATTGGTACAATGAGCGTGAGGAGAGTATCACAAGCGTCAGCATCTTTTACAAATTCAGAGATACGTGACAAAATTACCAACTCTGTTTTGCTTACTCCTTTATTTGTCTTCTCTAGTTTCTTTTTTATATACTCCAAAATACTGAAAACGTGTGGTAGAAGTATAGTAGACCCATAGTTGACACCACCAAGTAGAGCTTCCTCATTTATTTCCAGTAAATTACTAAGTTTCGGTGTTAAAGGAACCAAAAGCGTGTCGGTTTCCATATCATTTGCATTTATTTTTCCATAATCCTGCAATGTTACCATTTTCTCGATCATTTCAAGTATTGCGTTAATTACAGATGGGTGTGTCTTTGGACCCAACAAAAGACGCATAACGTATGGTAGTGGACTGATTGACTCATTATCGTCTCGATACTTTATAAATAAAGGATAGTAACGTGAGTTCTGGCTCCATGTGATAAACAATTTTAGTAAAGGTGTGGGACTATGAATACCCTCAATGGGTAACTTTTCCAACCATGGAAAGACTGCTACATTAAACAAAGCATCCAGTTCATGTTTGCTCCATTCATAGTGTTCGTAGTGACCAAAAAATCGTACTAATATTAAGATACAACTTCTTCGTACATTTCTAATGGATGGTAAGTAGCCAACATGAACTTTATTTGATTTCTGCAAGATTCCAGTTACTTCTGCTAAAATGCATATGACTAAACCAAGTAAATAGGGTAATAATTTCTGTGCCATTCTACCACCAAACTGTTCAATTAAAATTCCAAGTAAATTTATAGCACTCTGCAAACGTTTAGGTGGTGTAACATTGTTCAAATCAACTGAGTTAATAATATTCTGTGTTAACTCATCTAAATTGACTTTTTCATCTACTTCAAGCGACATGTACTTATTAAAGGGCCTGAAAGCCATTTTTACAAATATAATCATTTCATTTTCTTGAGTGCCAGCTAGAAAACGTAGAATCAATTTTCGTCGTAAAAGTCCGCCTCCTTTGCCTCCAGTTCTCATTCCCGTTTTTGATGCCATTTTTGCATAAAGTATTCTCATTAGTATAGGTATAATATCTTTACGATGTTCGTTCTGTATTGAACTACTTTCTTCATCAATTTTAAATCGTGTTAATTCATTTTTTATATTCTGTTCACTAATTAAACTAATAAGATTATCTTTGTATGGTAATAGGTACTTGTGTTTGTAAGTGAGAAGACAATTTAAGGCAGCCTTCTGAATGTCAGGATTCTTTGATGACAATAAATCCAAGTATATTTTCTGGATCTCTGACTCTCTATATAGTGTCCTTGGATTTGTTATTTTTCCAAATATTTCTAATTGAGCAATTAAAACTTTTGCTTTATAAACCCTATATGGCATAAATGTTTGCTTTGACTTCGTATCTGCTGATTTCAATTTTTTGTTCCTAGGATCAATTTCCTTCACTTCTGTTTCTATTTCATTTTTCTCTTCATTCTCGTTTTCTTCAAGTTCAGAATCCATATCGTCGTCCGCATCAATTTCCATTTTACTACCAGAAGCATCTATTTTTTGCGTTTGTAAGATACTACAAGAGTTAGCATCTTCGGAATTTGTCTTGAAAAAATTGTCATTTACATAATCAATAAATATTCCTGTAATGTCTCTGTTCTTCATTTCACAGTAATGCGACAAATTTCCCATACATTTCCACAATAGAAGTTGATGATTTTGATAATCAGGATTGTCTCTGACTTTTTGTATTTCAATTTCTATTTCAGAAATAATATCACACTCATGCAATGAGTTATAGTCTGGCGTTTCTTTGTAACTCGATTTCAATTCTGTTAAGAATATATGCCAAAATTGTTCACATTCCTTGCTTGCATATGTAGCAATAATTTTACTCACGGGTTCCCATAGTATCGAAAAATTTATGTACATACATCCCAATAAATACCTCAGTGGAATATCATTATATTTGGAATTTAAATTCGACAGTGTAGTACCTTCAAATGATAAAGCCTGTAGGTGTAGCAATTTTGTTCTGTAATTCTGAACTGTTATAGGTTCACATTCTGCCAAATACAAAAGTTCTATAGCACTTTTTTCGGTATTGGTAACAGAAACTTTAACTTCTTGAATGTTAGAATATAGCGAATACAAATGGGTTGCAACCAATCGAACATTGCTGAAAGGAGAACTTAATTGCGATGCAATACTACTATTTATGCTGTCAAAGAAATTTACATTTATATACATTTGCCAATAGTCAGATGTACTGAAATATGTTATATATAAGTCTACTGCATTCAAAATTAATTTATTGTTAGGATATTTAGCTAGAAGATCCAATATCCTTATAGCATGTGTGTTCAAAAAGTTATGTAAAATTTTAGGTTCAAGAATATGAACCGCTGATTCAGATGCTATCAAAAAACTGAAACACAATTTATTTAAATCATCTTCTGTATTGGTTTCATTTAAAATCCGTTTATACACACACAATAACCCTTCTTTTAAAATATCTATGAACTCTGCTGGTAAAGGTTTTAAATGTGGCAGGATAATTAACATTTTCAACGTATTGGTTGACACATCACTATCCAATAAACCTTTCAATTCTTTAAAGAAGAAATCAATCGTATCCGATTTGGCATCTTGAATATCTAGCGCGTATTTCTCCCATTTATTTAAATTAATTCCATTTATGCTTAATGGAACTTTTGTCTTCACAATGTTGGCAAATAAACTTAAGGAATTATTAGTAAAATCATTAGTGATACTACGCCATAGTACATATGGTAATATCAAAATTTCAAATGCTGAATGATCTATCAAACATTCAACAGCTCTATACAGCAATTCTACATCTTTTACAGCCACGATTTTAAGTAATATTTGGTTTGATGCTTCTTGCGTTAATTTAATGTTAGGTGCCAACAGAATGGCTACACCTACATTCAAAACCTCTCGAAGGACATCACTGTCATTTTCAAAAATGTCCAAAATATCTGTTAATGCTCTTATAACTGGCACTGGCTCTATGACAAACCTTCCACTTTTAAAATTAACAACTGTACATAGCAGTTGCATTAAGAGTATCAAACTTCTTCCTTCTGTATCTGTAGCTTGAAAACTTTTACCATTACCAACTTTTTTTATTATAACATTTACTAGCACAGACCAAAATATTGCACAATTCTGTGGATGTATGTTTTGGATGCAGCAATTAATTGTTTGTTTTAGTATTCTGAACAGCAAATCTCGGTTTATATTATCAGTGAATAATGCGTTCAAATATAATGAAAGCATTTGTTCTGCACACGAGTGAAATTGTCCTGGTGTGCCAGCTATTACAGCAAAAAATAATTTGCCACATCCTGACACACCATCAGGTTTCTTTTCCAGAACATTGAGTATAGTTCTTAAGAAATGATCTTTATCTGTGACTTTGCGTACTACAAATGCGAAACTTTCAGCTGCAAAATTGTTTATATACGCTGGTTGTGTATCTGATAATAATGGTAACAGCAGGTCTATTACGGTATTGATATTTTTAACCAGGTAACGCCACAGAAATTTGAATAGATAAGCCAGTGCTGTGAAAACATATTCTAATTGTTCTGTGTCTTTAGTCTGCAATAAATCGGTGATGACCGATAAAAATTTAGGAAAATAGATGTAAAAATCTTTTTGCAGATCTTTGGATACAGCGACCACCAATCTAAAAGAAAAAGTTCACATAAAATAGTTATTAATATACGATTATACACATATTGCCATATATAGAATATATGCACATTTAAATTTGGTACGTACTCTAAAACTGGCTGCAAAAACAGAACATCCTTCTTTTCCAGATATTCTATTAACGTATCGATCACAAACTGTTTCTGATTAATCAGCTGTGGAAGCGTTACAATGTCACGAACTTTTTTCTTAAGGCTGCAATAATCCTCTGTGAGGTTAAGAACATTCCATTTTTGTAGAGTTTGATAAAAATATGTTTCAATTTCCCCATCGTTTTCCTCGTTTCGATGTGCGACACGATGAAATACATCAATGTCAATTTCACTTATCCTTTCAGAAAATGGCTTAAACTACACACAAGAAAAACAGTATGATAAACACTTCATAACAAAAGGATTGTTATTTACTTAGGTTATGTATTTACCTGAAAGGTATTGCATTCTTTATGACGAATTGGGTTGTTCTTCATGATGATAAAGTACAGAAAAACTTCACGTTTGATAGATTCAATATATCTTAAATTAAGAAAAAATCAATTTGTACTGATGTGACCTCACGCACGTGTATCTCACGATGTCCCACGTGTTATAAATGAGCACAGTTGAGCAACACTGAATACGCAAGAAATGGAAATACAAACTAGAAGCAACCGCACGACCTTACCTAGTCGGAAATCTGAGACTAAATGAGCGAATTCACGACAGCACGGACCTCCCAAGATTGAGAAAGCGCTGACATCGCTAGCGGTGGAGTGGTTAAGCTCGGCAGAAAGAGAAGGGATAGCAGAGGATGAAACAGAGACAATATGGCGGCGCCACATGACGATATTCGAAGAACGACGCGCGAAGTTTGAACCTTGTAATATGACTTAGACTAGTTCTTACGAACTATTATAAGTTTTAACAATGAGTGAAATATTTGGAGGTTATACAAATGTGTGTGTGTGTGTGTGCGCGTGCGCGCGCGCGCGTGCGTGTGTGTCTTTACGTCTATATATTATTATCCTACTTGTTCTTGCTTATACTTATGCTTACAAACCTAATTTAATCTACGCAATACGTCAGCGTCACTTGTCTGACGTAGCACCATCCACCTAGAGAATACTCACAGGCGTCGAGTTTTCCCGAAATTGTTTTATGAGAGGTAACTCTCTCTCCCCGTTTTCAAGGTTAGCGCATTCCTCTCTCCTTCTTTTTCATCCCAGATGACGAGTTTCTGAATTGCTAAAAGCAAGGAGAGGGGAATACGTTACCCTTGAAAACGAAGGGAGAGAGTTACCCCTCATAAAACAATTTCGGGAAAACTCGACGCCTGTGAATATTCTCTAACAATGCCCAGCAACTGGACTTCGTCCGTTTTACGATGGGTCCCTCTGACCTGTTAGAATTTCCACGTCCGAAAATTATTTCTCTGCATGTTGCGAGTCCGTCACACTATCTACGGTTCTGTAGAAAATGTCTCGATTTTAAGGGGCTAATTCGAATCAATATTAGAATGCGTACTGGTGAGAATTTCCAACAATGAGATAGTTCAAATTAAAACTGGAAAACCGTGCCATGTGGCAGGCATATCCCGGTTTGCGAGAAAATCCACAGTCTCACCGAAAAGTTATAAATTGTTATTTACGGTGCTATGGAAGAACTGAAGAATCAAAAGATAATTAGAAGCAAATGTGTTTTTGCGAAGAAGAGAAATTGGTTTGGTCGCTGATGAATTGAGACAGCAAATAAACAGTGATTATGAAAGTTCATACAACTCAGTTATGAACATTGTTATCAGTAGTAGCTGTTAACAAATATTACGTTAAATTTATTGATATCGAGACCGCTTATCTAAATAATAAACCAAAGAGGAATGTATACATGAAATCTTTACAAAGAGTCATTATTGAAGGTGCGAAAGTTCTTCAAAGTGGGAATGTGCCAGTATAAAAAAATTAATCAGAATCTTAATGAAAACTAGTTTAAAGTCGATGAAAGCTGATTAATTTGTTTTTGTTACGGATATTTATATGTAATAATTAATAAAAATTATAGTATAATAAACAAATTAATATTGAAGTAAGGAAAACAACTAATGATTACAAAATTAATTCTGAAAATTCTGAGAATTTTCTATTACACCAAAGTAGGTTCATAAATGAAATCTTGAGTCAACATACAGGGTGGTCCACAATTATTTTAACAGCTGAAAATGAGGGGTAGCTGAGGTCATTTGAAGTAACTTTTCCTTTGCGAAAATGCAATCTGCGGCTTTGTTTACGAGTTATTAACGGAAAACACTGACCAATGAGAGGTGACGGTGCGAGAGAGAGAGAGAGAGAGAGATCTACGCATCAGGTCAGCGTCGTTTGTCTGACGTAGCACCATCCACCTAGAGAATACTCACAGGCGTCGAGTTTTCCCGAAATTGTTTTATGAGAGGTAACTCTCTCTCCCCGTTTTCAAGGTTAGCGCATTCCTCTCTCCTTCTTTTTCATCCCAGTTGACGAGTTCTGAATTGCTAAAAGCAAGGAGAGGGGAATACGTTACCCTTGAAAACGGAGGGAGAGAGTTACCTCTCATAAAACAATTTCGGGAAAACTCGACGCCTGTGAGTATTCTCTAACAATGCCCAGCAACTGGACTTCGTCCGTTTTACGATGGGTCCCTCTGACCTGTTAGAATTTCCACGTCCGAAAATTATTTCTCTGCATGTTGCGAGTCCGTCACACTATCTACGGTTCTGTAGAAAATGTCTCGATTTTAAGGGGCTAATTCGAATCAATATTAGAATGCGTACTGGTGAGAATTTCCAAACATGAGATGGTTCAAATTAAAACTGGAAAACCGTGCCATGTGGCAGGCATATCCCGGTTTGCGAGAAAATCCACAGTCTCACCGAAAAGTTATAAATTGTTATTTACGGTGCTATGGAAGAACTGAAGAATCAAAAGATAATTAGAAGCAAATGTGTTTTTGCGAAGAAGAGAAATTGGTTTGGTCGCTGATGAATTGAGACAGCAAATAAACAGTGATTATGAAAGTTCATACAACTCAGTTATGAACATTGTTATCAGTAGCAACTGTTAACAAATATTACATTAAATTTATTGATATCGAGAAAGCTGATTATTTGTTTCTGTTACGGATATTTATATGTAATAATTGATAAAAATGATAGTATAATAAACAAATTAATATTGAAGTAAGGAAAACAACCAATGATTACAAAATTAATTCTGAAAATTCTGAGAATTTTCTATTACATCAAAGTAGGTTCATAAATGAAATCTTGAGTGAATATACAGGGCATCGTCAAAACGCCAGATGCGTTAGGAATGAGACTAGATAAGTACAAGGATTTGAAAAGAGTTGACATTTTGCCCTAAGAAATTCTGGGAAGTATTGGATACCTAGTATTTTCGAAAAGGGTGTATCTTTAAGAAGTGTATCTCAGGTGACCACTTAGTAGAGTGCATGTACCAGATCAAAATATTTCACGACAGAATCAACGGAAAGTAAACTTTTGTAATAACAATTTAATGTATCTGTACGAATAAACAATGTATATAAACACGTATATACAAATTCATACAAAACTAGATATTTCTCCTACAAACCAGACTTTCTTACACTTAAATATATTTAAGAAAATACTTTTTATTATTAACATCTATTATGAATTTATCTTTATTATACAAAATATATTTAGCTATTTTCACTCCGAGCTGAATAGAAATTAAAGCATTTAGGCAGGTTACTGTTTAATTGCTAAAATGAATCTAATTAACTGCTTTAATTTAAATTAACTTTATCTTCATATAGTTTATGTAGATCATCTTTTGAAAGATGATGCCATGCTGAATACATTTCCTCTTCGGATGATAGAACGTCGTTTACTAACTCTTTATATTTATCGAACGGGAGAACTTCGTCATGACCGTCGAACTTATAAGGTATCAACTCTTCCGTAACTCCGGTCCAAAGGAGCAACTAAAAATAAATTATGTTATTCGATCCATAATTACGAACTACATTGAATCGACAAATTATTTTATAAAGCATGAATTAACACTAGAATAGCCGAGCTTTAAAAGTGACTATTGAGTTGTTCGGAAAGTAATTGCGTTTTTTTACCAACAGAGGCATTAGTTGTATTTTTCATCAGTCGATTTCATTGGAAACCGTATTGTCATTATACAGAGGTTTCGCTTAAAACTGACCACTTCAGTATCTCCTCCAATAGTGACATTAGAAAAAATATTGTGAATGGAATTTGATTGATATTAAGAGACGAATACTATGTATAAAGTATCTTTTTTCATAGTCATTTTTTTGTAGTTTTTGTAGCCATCGATGTGGATGGAGAATCGATCAATAGAAAAGGTGTAGTGTTTCACGACAATACCAGACCTCACACAACTTTGACTACTCGTCAGAAGCTGTTACAGCTTGGATGAAATTTATTACCATCCCCATCACATTCGTCAAATCTGGCACCCTCGGATTGTTAGTTGCTCCGGACTTTACATTTCTTAAATGGTAAAACGTTTATCTCAAACGAAGATGTCAAAAATCACTTGGCTCAAATTTTTAGCGTGAAATCTTGCTACCACCAGAAAGATGACAACAGGTATATTAGACCAAAATGGTCAATATATAATTCAATCAGATACTTGTAAATTATAAAAAAAGAACGAAATTACTTTGTGAACAATTCAATGGTTCGTACGAAATCGCGTTTATCGAGATATTGCACGATTTTTATTAGGAAATAGAGCTGAACAAATAATTTTTATCGAAAACATTTTTACAATAGAATCAACCAGAATTTCACCATTTTGATAGATTTGATCGTTCTAGTGTTAGAATTTTCATTCGTAGCGTTTGAATTTTGTGTAGCGCAACATTCAAAATCAATTACCCTAACGAACTGCTTGCCAGCTTCGTCGCTTAGTTTTTCAAATATAATCGCGGTACCGTAATTTGGTAGCGCCGGTTCTGTGAAATTATGAGCTCTCACGAATCCAGCGATATTTGATTCATGTCCGCTGTACAAATAGATTTTTCGTGGCCTTTCGCGGTCCTCGTTCAGTTGTACATTTTCGATAAATGTCCTGATAAGCGTGCCTCCGTTTACACGTTTCAGTTGCGTTGTCTGAGAGCGAGTTTCGTATTCAAGTAACACGATAGATTGCAAGGTCTTCATCACTTCCTCTGTACACCACTCGGGCATCGTCAAATTCATGCTCTTCTGTAAAATTAGTTCGTGTATAATTAAGGAAGCAACATAGAAACTGCTTTAAACATTCAATTCTTATTATAATTCCCCACTAGCGACTTAATAAATAACTTAAGAAGCGCCCGACTGTACCTGTGTCTGCAGCTTATTATAAACTTCGTACCCATCTGTTACATTCATTTCGATCTTTCCGGTTTTTTCACTTAGAAAGCTCAGGAAATCTTTGTATTGCGAAACTTTTCTACAAACTTCTTCTAAATTTCGTGCATTTTTTAGTGCTTCTGAAAATCTGTTAAAAATAAATATGCATATGGATTACAGACGATCTATGTAATTGCTGATTATTAGAATCGATTATACGAGCTCCTCTACCGTTATCGACCGCTCGTAGGTATCCTTTCCGAGATAAGAGAAAACGGAATGCCCATTTAGACGCTTACATTGGCGAGTATTCTGGTCTCAGCAAATAATCCATTTTCTCCGGCATATAGTGCATAGGTATCGGCATCCATGACAATCTATTGTTCCATGCTTGCTCTGAACTTGGAGGATAAAGAGCAGCCAAAACTAACTGTAGAGACATCTTTGTTCTATCAAAATTCGTACTATAAGCGTACACGTCAGTAGGATGGTAAACATCTCCTAAAAACTTGTCATAGCGGTTTCTTAACAATTTTCCGATACCATATTCCCTCAGTTTTCCTACCTGAAAAAAACATCGTTAATTGTAACTTAAATGGAATTATATTCACAAAATTTGTGTCGTATTTACGCGTTTATAACAAACACATTTGTCAACTGTCCGAGTCCCATTGGTTCGTAAACCGATAAATCCTCCAGATCTTTCGGCCAGAGTTCATTCTCACGTGGTGTTCGGTCTCCATGTCTAAACAACTGGAAAAAAATTAAAAATTCAATAAAATAAAGATAGTCGATTTCGTTTTCGACTTGACCGAGTCGTGATAAAACAAAATTGGCATGACGAAGTTCAAAGAACAGTAATACATTCCATCAATTAAAATGGATATTAACTATCACGTTCGACTCACGGAAATTCAATGGAAATGATCGAGTCAAATTGAAGTCCATACTCACCACCTGTACTAGTTCCACCCTTAATTCTCCTTTTGTTGAATCGTGAAGTAAACCTAGTACACAGGCAAATAGTGTTAAAATTAAAATTAAACGTCTTTTGTTCTTGAACGGTAGATCTGTATGGAAATGTAAGACTTCATAACAATGTCTGGGACGCTTCGCATGTAAATGAAAGTATTTACATACTACGCTAGAGAAGAGCAACCAGACAGTGATTCATTGTGATTGTATGGATTAATTAACTCACGACAAATTGTTGTCTAATACTTCCTCAGCGAACGCTTGCGATACCGTCCGATCTCTTTCACACTAATATACTTGTATCACGATACGCATATGCAATACAGCGTTCAACATGAGAAAAAGTATCGCCGTATTTTATTCCTGTTTGAACGTTTACGTTCAATTAAATTAACGATCCGTATTCATCACATGCGTATCGCGATACGTACAAGCATCTTCGTGTAAAACGGATTTAAGACTCGCTGAACACATGCGTTTTCTTACGCTGCGATCGCGCGACGACGCATAATAGACAAAGTGACAAAGTTGTGTCAAAATCAATTACTTTTGATAAAAGTAAGATGAAAAGACGTTTTCTTTTTACGTTAAAGCTGAAATGGTTTCAGAATAAGGAATGAATAGAGAGAATGTAGTACGAGTATTTTTAAACCTGGAAAATTTACGTTAAACTTTAAACTTTATGATTTATCCAATGCCATGTATAGATGGAACATTGTAATCATATGTTATACATCATTTTCCGTAGATTTTGACACGCTGATTTCAAATTCAACCGCAAAATTTATTGATGTCATCAGAGTTTTGAAAAAAATCAACAGGTTATTAAATCATTTCAACGAAAAAATCACGATTTCGTTAGTTTTTACACTTAAACCAATTTTTTTCAAACTTCTGAAGATGAACTCTGTGAACGGATTTGGAAAATTAACGTGTCAAAATCTATGTGAAATGATGTATAACATGTCATAAAAACAATGCAACTGTACATGATATTGGATAAATCACAATTTTGTTACAATATTTCAAGGACATAAATTTTCCAGAATAAGAAATATTCATTAACGTAAAAAAAGAACATTGCTTTATCTGATTTCTATCAAAAATTCTTTGATTTTTACACAATTTCGTCACTTTGACCCACTGTACAATTGCAAATGTTTGCAGTGTTCGATTACAAAATCACACAAAATCGTGAAACGCACAATAAAGAAATGCATGTGAACGTTTTTTTATTTCAATCACAATTGTGACAACGCAATAACAATGGAAATAATTGAAGTAAGAGTAACGATATCGGGCATTATTTAATGATGTTCATAAACCAAATATCATCGCCCAACGATAAATGCGGTATAGTAAGTTATAGAGTATTTTGAGAGAATTTTTGTATACCTACGAATGGATGTTTTCATTGAAATTCTGTTCCCGTCATTACTCCTCAAAGAAACAATTGCTAAATTCAAATAAATTCACATGCTAGCTAGGTTGCGTCATATATATTTAATTAAACAAAGTGTGTGTGTATATTAGGGTGGTCCTTAATGTTCAAATTACTATATATATATTTATATTATATTATATCTTAAAGCGTGATTTAATGTACCAATTGCTACAAATGCGCCCAACCAAGATCTGCAATTTCTGTAACAGCTTTACAAGTATAAAGAAGTTGGTGAAAGCACAAGTGAAGTAACAATACATAAATTCAGTGGACATTTATGGTATTTAATTCCAGAATGTGCAACATTAGCTTTTTTTGATACAAAATTGTTTTTGGATATAAAGAGGCATATGATTAACCCTTTGCACTCGAGTGGTGACTCTGAGGCACCACTAAAATTTATTGTATCACGCTTTAAGATAACTTTTATATTAACAAAGTTTAGATTTAAAAAAATTGTTAAGAATGTAACTATTGGGCGAGTCCCAAGTATCAATTTCATGTGCATAAAATGCATTTTGCCATATAAAATAGAAATACTATAAGTTAGAAAAATGATTTTATATTTTAGAGTTAAAATAGCTTCGAGTGCAAAGGGTTAATATGGGCATAGAAAATTTCATCTCATTGGAATGTCACAATTTCTTTCCTAGATTTCACATAAATATTGATCTTTTATACGAAGACGCTTCTGTTTGAGAAAGCGATGAAACGTATAAAACTATGTTAGAAATAATAAGGAATTTAAAAGTAGTTAATGGCATTGCAGAACAAGACATGAAACTTATCACCAATTATAATAGCTTATTAACGAAAAATGAAGATAATAAACAATTCATTTTACAAGTATTAGAAGATTATTGACGACATTATCCAAATGCCAGCAAATCAATCTTGATAAAAGCCATATATTGATCAAGATATTTCAATTAGTTTTATTATGATGTATAATTAGAAATTAAGTTTAAGTAATATTATATAGTACTGCCACTAAAACAGTGAAACACATTTACATTGAAATTAACGTAAATAATAAAAATTTAAAAATTCTTTGCTTCCAATTGCGGCACGGATTCCCGTTGTCCAATCACTCCGAAATTTTGTACACATTATTTCTTCACCATGTAGCACGATTTAAAGAGGTAAGCCAAAAAAGACTAAAAAACCATTTTTGATTTCTATAGCTAAGGACCATCCTAGTGTAAACGTAATCGCTCGATGGTAGCAGCTCGACCTAGAATGTATATTCGAACAGCAGAAATATAATTATATAATCACACACATATACGTGATAACCAAGCGATAGAACCGAGGGAATCGTTTTTTCGGGTTATTCGACGATATACACTTATACTTTACGTACTCATATCGCTTCTCAACTTTATTGTCAGACGTATGCACTATATCTCCTCATGCACAACGTGCAGTTTGTATCGCTTAAATAATTTTAGTAGAATTACGTTGACACGAGCAATACTCCTCTTATTTCACTAATGCTATCCAAGCTCTACAAATATACACATATACAACGCTACATAACCGGCACATAGATAAAACAAATCTCTATAAAAGATCGCAACCAATTGTTCAAACACAATGCGGAGGACTTTTGAACCTCTCTGAACATATTGCAAGATTTATACAGAGCTCTCAGGCGCCTGACCGTTCTTGAAATTTCCATTCAAGGCCAGTGTATCCATTGGTGCCTAGTGTATCCAATGGTGTCAAAGATTCTGCTCGAAATCTGCTCCAAGTGGCGGAGAGGAAACCTCACAAATAGGATTGGACAACTTCAATGGAAATCCATTGGTATCATCCAATCCCATTTGCGATGGGTAATACTATACAGTATTACATAATGATAATTGAACGTTATGTAACCTATTTCGTTAATAAGGCTAATATTGCTTAGTAAATAATTATACGTTTATACATTATAGTTACCATCGAAGCTCCTTTGAAACAGTTTTCTCACATTACGTAATAAGATTGACCGTTTGATTAGTGATCAGATGAGTTGACGCGATAGGCCAAAACCGATTTAATTTGTTATCGGAATATGATTTAGCACAAACGAAAAACTTTTACATGCTTTTACATAGTACAATGGTACCTCGGCATACGTCCTGTTTGTATGCGAACAATCTTGTCTGGTATACGACCTTTGTTTAGAATACAACTGGAACGGATTAAGGACGTATACCATGATGCCGCCATATACACCAAATACTGTACAGCAGAGCTGTTCAACTACTTGCCCCTGCGGGCAGCGATTTGCCGGCAGCTCCCGAGGGCAACAGTGTCCCTTTCTTAGTTCCTCGTGGGACTCCCCACCAATTAACTACACGTTACTGACTGAAAGACAGTGACAGAATCGACTGTAGATAATGTCAGGATTGAATGAAATACATATGTAGCATGAAAACGTTAACACTTTTTTTTTTTTTTATTTAACGTGGAGGAAATCTGCTCGCCAGACACCCCCGACCCGCCCGGGGGAGCGGGACGAGGGTAGTGTGGGGATTGACCCACTAAAATCTTCACGGCGACCTGAGGACGTAGGACCGATTGCTGGCGATTCAACGGGGGAGTCACGGGGACTCTTGAAGAACACTACCGTGACTTCCCCTCGCCTGGCCAGCCATCAAGGTGGTAACGATGGCCGGCCGCGTCCCGGGGGAGATAAATCCTCCCCCTTAAAATCCAATTACATTCGGCGGCGCGAGGGGTCGCACCCCGCACCGCCCCGACACGGCGACCGCGCGATAGGTGACCAGGGCCCCCGCCCTGATCACAGCGGCCGCCGGGGGGACGACGAGTATATTGGAGGAGGATCACAATTAACCCTCGCCTCCTTCAGGCGACTCGTCATCCCCCACACCTAACAGGTGTAAACTTTTATTAATATATGTTTTGATTTTTCCCGTTCTGCTGCCCAAGCGATCCTTCTTGGTCAACGGTCTAATTTTCTCTGACTCTCGGCCCGGCTCATCCCTGCAAGGCCAGCCTCCACCGCATGGCCAGTCCTTATCTCCCAACCTAAACATCCTGGGTTCTTTGAACCCGAATCGGACAAAGCCCCTCTGTGCGTTCCGTTACACAGGGGAGGTCCTCCTCTGTTGGCGGGCGGCGGGCAATGAAACCAGCGTGTTCTGGTACACCCGCCGCCCGCCTATTCTCAGCTGCCCGGGGTTTCTCGGCGTGGACGCGCACGCCGTTCCCGGGCACGTCGGGCAGGATCGGTTAGCTCCCGATCCCGCTCGGCAGCCTTCTTCCGCGACATAACCTCCTCGCAGAAAGAGATTGCATGGCCCCAATTAGGCTGGAGAGTGCGAGGTCGTGGCCGAGAAAAAAAAAAACGTTAACACTTTGCTCTAACCTTGACATAACGCTTGCCCGTAGTTTCACCCTTAGCCTGTGGCTTTGCCCTTGCCCGTAACTTTATGTACATATTATTGTTACTTTGGAAACGACTCTAAATCGTACAATCGCAGAAGCGTATATGTATATTAAATTATATACCCCACCATGTATATCTTGAATTTAATTATTTTCGTAATGAATATTAACAACTTTTGTTACCGATACTATTCATAACAAATTTCGTATAAAGATTTTCTCTATTTTCAAACATGAATATAGATATGATAAATAGAAATAGAAAAAAGATATGTACAGTCATACTTCACCAAAATAAGTAATTCTGCTTCCCCATAGTAAGCATTATTATCCCCATTAATTATCCATCAAGGGCCGGGCAGTTGCTTTAGAAGGAGAACGGGAGATGGTCAAGAGAGACAGAACGAAACCAGCGGATTCTATGCGTATGCCTACACGGACGAGAAATCTAGGCCGTCTCACTTTACCGTGCTTGCTGTCTCACTCTATTTGCGCATCCATACACCGGGCGCTCCATTTGAAACATGGCTTTTCACCATGTTACACACTTGTACTTTTCACCCAGTAGGATTCTCGACCACACAGTAAACCCGTAAGCTATATTTTAAATAGTTTGTAGTTTTTCTATCCTGTTAGAAAGATTACACATTTAATTTGTCAGGATTATGTCAGAGTTATGTCAAAATTATGTCATTATTTTCAACTCCAACTTCAATTTGAGTTTCAGTTTCAATTCCAATTTCAATTTTAATTTTCAGGGTTATATCAAGGTTATATTTTAGTTTATGCAAGGTTATACATATGTATATCTCGCATGTTAGGCCGGGCGGTTCACTATATCTCGGGCCACAAAGTGTGTATAATGGGATGGGAGGGGGGCTTCTCTGCCGAGTTTCTCCGTCATTGCAAAGGTGGAATATTCCCGAGCCACGGTCCAAGAAGTACGCATTAACGATCTGCGCAGGATGAGGATGGTGGTGGCATTTCGGCTAGGCGTAACCATAGAGGCAGCAACAATAACATAATAACGACCCTTTTCAGAGCCTCAAATTCATTTCAGCCTTACTCACTCCACAAGTGATAATGTCGATACGATACTAAAATACCATTTTCTATGTTAACCAGACCCACAAACAGCATTTTTTTATATTGCTGGTTTTGTTTCTAACTTCGATAATTACGAAATTACTCGTTGCTTACAGAACTCCTTCTCTTACGGTAAAATAGTTAACAAGTACTGAGATGACTGTATTAACAAAATTTTGTGGATTCATAAAGTAGAAATCATCACTTAAAATGTAGCTTACGGGTTTCCGAAAATTTTAATAATTGTAGAAATGATTGCCGTTTCAAAAAACGTTCGCAAATATGCTGGACTGTGCGGTCGAGAATCCTATGGGGCGTAAAGTCTAAGTCGAAATCGCGCCACATGTTTCAAATGAGGCACCAGGCATATGGATGCGCGAAAAGAGTGAGAATGCAAGCACGGTAAAGTGAGACAAGCTACATTGGTCATTGGTGTGACTTGTTTTGCTTGTGTTGTGCTGATATCGTACTCTCTTGCTCATTCGCCACTTCCTCTCTTTGTCTAGAACCGCGAGGGCAGCACTGTTTAGCTGTGAAGCATCAACCAATCAGATTTCTCTACCTGCTTCATGCTATTATGCTGGCGTATGTATATATACATACAACGTACATTTCTTATGTGTGAAATATAGATGCATACGCACTAAAATCGTAGATAACTTCACAGTGATTCGACGGAGGGAGTAACTCTAAAATCGAAGAGATTTTATTAGTTTTTTATTCAAATGCCTTGTTCTCTTTCTAATTAGAGTTTTAAAAATATGTCTTGTTGTTCAGGCGACGACGATGAAGAACAACGACCTGATCCAACACGTGTACGAGAATGCACGGATATTTTCTGGCTTTGTTTTTTCATAGCATTTTGGTTTTTTATGGTATGTAAATTATAGTACATATATTAATTTAATATATTTAGAAAAATCAATTTTCAAAAATATATAATTAAAAATATAGTACTCCGTTTTGCTTTGAAATTGTACCTAGCATCGAGACTCAAAGAGAATGTTTTTGTTGTTATTTTAATTATATCAATGAATCCATTAAATAAAATCTAAATATTTTCACCAATGTGTCTTTTTATTTACACAGATATTAATCGCAGCTTTTGCTCTTGTATATGGTAATCCTTTGAGGCTTATAAATGGGTATGACAGTTTTGGAAATACTTGTGGTATGAAAAATAATCCAAAGTTTGGTAGTATGGAGCTCTCTGGCCAAGATACTAGTGACAAACCGTTTGTATTAGCATTTAATTCTCATATTTTATATACTAACATAAATTATATGTAAATTTATTCAATTTTATTCACTAATATTATTATTTTAGATACCTCTTCTTTTTGGACATATCCAATGTATCACAGTCTTTAAAAATTTGTGTAAAAAAGTGTCCAGATAGGAAAATGATGACAATGAATGATATATGTAAATTTTATGAAGAAACGGGATCACAACTTTGCCATGATAAACCAGGAAATGATTTTAGTGCCTGTAGGAATGCAAACCAAGAAAATAAAACAGGATCTTGTCCTGGATTTCCAGTACACAACAGTTTACCTGTTCTCAATCGTTGTATTCCAAAAGCAATTAAAGACGTAGGGGCAACTATAATCGCAAATTTGTATGGTTTAATGAATTCATGGGATGTTATAGAACAGGTATTGGGAGATTTGTATAAAACCTGGAGAGAGATTTTAGCTTTATCATTCTTGGCTTTTGGTATGTTTCTCACCACCTTATTAATACAAATTCAATCTTTTACTTTATGTAATGAAGAAAAAAATGTTTCAGTTTTATCACTTTTTATGATCGCCATATTTCACTTACTGGCATCTATTGTAACATGGATTGTAATGGTTCTTGTCAGTATTGCAACTATAGGTAAGTTATTTGAATATAATATGTAACTATATATTACTACATATAGCTAACATATTATTTAAAAATTTCTACTATATGAAATTTTACTACTTATTTAGGAAAAATTGAAAGAAGAATTTATATTGACAGACCCACAATTTTTCAAGGAACTGTTTCTTTTGAAATGATAATGTTTTCAACATTGATATCCCTTTAACAAGTTAGTGAAGTACAAAATAAAAGCACTTTCCCCTTTATGCAATTCGAATTAACGGAGTTAATTAAAAAACTAGTTATTACGTTAATAATCCGAAGTTATGACATTATTACAAGCATTTTACTGTATGTTGAATTGTAGAGTATAATTAAATATTGCTTTGTTTGTAATCTGCTGATTTAATTTTTACAGCTGGCACAGCGTTGTTGTGGTGGACATACATAGAAATTAAAAGAACATTAGATAAAACTGATCAGAATCAATTACTAGAGGAATCAGCCAGAAATGAAAGAGCATTCTTAGTTTTCTCCATTATTGCAACAATAATAACTGTATGTCTATTAATGAGTTCAAAAAAGTGTAGCGTAATATTGGTACTGTTATTATTTACTTGAATGTAATGCATATTTATTTATTTTAGGTCATTTTGTTACTCCTGCTGAGTATATTGCGCAAACGTATTGGATTCATGACAGCATTATTTAAAGAAAGCGCAAAATGCTTGGCAGAACTTCCAGGTTTATTTTTTCAACCTTTACTTACGTTTGGTGCCCTAATATTATTTTTTGCATTTTGGGTGACTGTAACCCTTTGTCTCGCAACTGCAAGTAAGTATTTTAATCGTTCAATTAATTTCTTAAATAAAATAATTAATATATATATATACTAATTACAGATTATCCTGGAACAAAATCTGTTCAAATGTATAAAAACCACATATTTGACCCATTAAATTTGAGCTCGGTTGGAGAGAAAAGCGCTATTGTCGAAGAAAAGAAAATTGACTTTTCATTGGATTCTTTTAAAAGTAATGTATTCAATTTTAAAAAATTTAACAATCAGTATTATTTCAAAAATATTTCAGCTTTTACTCTGGTTGAGTATGTTGATCCAACTTGGGTGAAGTACATGTGGTGGGTGTATATCATAGGATTGATATGGACCTCTGAATTCATTATTTCTTGTCAAGATATGGTAATAGCAGGAGCTGTTGCTCATTGGTATTTTAGGTAGTAACATTACAATAATATTTGATTCATGTACATTGCAAAATATAATTTCATATGTATGTATAATATCTATTTGTCATTTTAGAGGGAAAGATGCTAGTGTATCTCCAGTATGTTCTGCTATGGGAAATTTAGTTTATTACCATTTAGGCTCCGTAGCTTGTGGCTCATTCCTAATAACACTTTTCAAATTACCTCGTTTAATTTTGACATATCTACATACAAAGTATGTTTATTATAATATCCATTTTAAAAAATTATGTTTCTGCAATACAATTTATAATTTTAATTTTCTTATAGATTTAAAAAAACAAAAGAGACCTCTCCATGTGCTCAGTGTGGTTTAAAATGTTGCATTTGTTGCTTTTATTGCCTAGAAAAGTTTATTCGGTACATGAACCATAATGCATATACTGTTGTTGCTATAGAGGGGACACACTTTTGTAATGCTGCTAGAATTGTATGTTATAATTTCGATCACATAATTTATTTATGTAGATCACTGAATATAATATTAATAAAAAATGTTATACATTTCACTTTCTTGTCTTTTTAGGCATTTGCAACGCTTGTGAATAATGCAACGCAGATAATAGTAATTAACGGAGTAGGTGATTTTATCCTATTTCTGGGCAAATGTTTTGTCACAGCTGCAACTGGAAGTATTGGATTATTATTTATGAAGCAAGATCCCAGACTACATTTTTATGCGGCACCAATTTTTGTTATTTGTGTTTTTTCATTCTTTATAGCTCACAGCATTATTTCCCTTTATGAGGTATGATGCATGTATTCTTCATACAAATTTATTATATTTCTTAATATATACTTTCTTATCTCCTTGTAGACTGTGATAGATACGCTGTTCCTCTGCATTTGTGAAGACAAAGATTTGAATGTTGAGAATGGAAAATGGCGTCAATCAGCGCTAGCACAAATTGGTTCTAATAATAATACAAACGGACAACAATCACAAGAATTAACACCAATGAATACATAAGTACAATTATAAAATACTCAGTCTTCTTCTGACCACTTTACACTTTTTTGAATATATTTTATAAATTTTATGATTACAATTATTTTTATGCAATTTTAAATTATACATAAAGACATAGTGAATATACAATCAGTCATGAAAGTCTTCATACACCTTTTGAAACGGAATAACTTTTTCAAACCTTCACTAAATAACTTGAATTTTTTTAGATAGATGATGTAAACAATGACTATAATACTTTTTTAAATTTTGTTATTATTTGGAAAGGCAAAAAGAATAAAAAAACTCGTTTTTTAACTTTTTTATCTGAGCCTATAACGAAAATTTAAAAAATGTTTTTCGTAGATCTCGGTTAACCTATATGCGTGCTGAAAATTTGATCGAAATTGGTTAACCCAGGGTCAAGCTACAGGCGTTGAAAGATTTTTAAGAATCACAGATTTTTTACATTTTTTGATCAAAAGTATAAAAAGACGTGACAAAACTGCTATTGTTACGTTCTTTAATTTGTTGTAATTCATAACAACGTCAACTGGCTTCGGTAAAAATTTTAGCATGCATATAAGTTATCGAGATCTATAAAAGGCATTATTTAAATTTTCATTATAGGCTCAGATAAAAAAGTTAAAAATCGAATTTTATTTTTTTCTAATACAAAATTGTCAAAAAAAGTATTTTAGTCATTGTCTAGTAGACTAGTTCCCCTATCATCTAAAAAAATTCAAATCATTTAATATAGTTTTAAAAAAGTTATTGCATTTCAAAAGGTGTACAAAGACTTTCATATCTGACTGTATATA